AGGAGTTAGCCTAAACAGGTTCTTATATAAATGGTAGTTAACAGAATTTTAGGCTATTTAGGTTCTTAAAATGGGTTCTTAATCCTGGAGAAAAAACAATTAAAACACAGCTGCAAACAAGTTGGTCATTAACCTATACTTTTATTTTCTTCAGACCCACCCCACCCCCCATCCCCCCAAAAACATTTAAGAATGTTATAACTAGCTTTAATGCATAATGGTGTGCTGATCTACATATTGCTTAGTATGCTTTGTAAGTCTACGTATCTTGCACTCATTTTTCCTTAAAAAACATTGTTACAACAATGGCAATCTGCTTTTTTGCTTCAAATATGATTTTTGCAATGCAGCTGTAATGTGCTAATATGATTTTAGAAAATAAGAACCTGTTTTAAATTTCTTAGGCTAAATAGGTTCTTGTTTATAGGGGGTATAAAGGACCAATTTTAGGCTAACAGGTTCTTAATTTTTAGGTTCTTAGTTGCGGGTTTTTACTGTAATCACTTCTTCTCCCATGCAACTCAAGGATAGAGATCACTTCCATATAGTTGTTATATACGAGCATGTGCTTTATATATAACAGTGCTTTATTCTACATCACTTGGAAAAAGTCTTTCTTGCCTTCTTGTGGTAATCGTTCGGTCTATATGACGAGAGAGGAAAGTATGGAGTTTATTACATTTACCAAGATTTTATTCCGGGGATCCGTTGTTCTAACGGAGGTAATATAAGTACAAGCCAATTAGCTAAATAACAGTTACAATACATAACAGTGAGAATAAATTGTCTTCTTTTGACGTTTACCACAGTTTATGGCCGTTTGTTTTTCTTCGTTTTATTAATTTTAGACAGGTTTCATCAGCCTCTCGCATCTATGGCAAACCGTTTGGCGCAGAATAACAGGAGTTTTGTGCCATTTTCCAGGTGGAATAACTCTATTGATTTCTTCAACTGCTGATTGTACTGGAAAATAGCTTTGATTTACAGTTCCAAGAGTCATATGAAAGTTTTGCAGACGTGTGTGTGGAATATGTTTGTGTACACCAGTGCTAATTTCGAGATCTCGCTAGTTTTTTAGCGCCCATCGAGTCAAATCCTCTCGTGAATTTTTATCAACCATAAGCACAAGAGAAACTGCATCATTGTAGCCGTGGATTGCACATTCTATTTTATCAAACCATACCTCGTGAGGTTCCCAAGAATAAGTGTTTAAAAACTTCCCGATTTTAATCCCCTCCTCTTCCGTGTAGCAGCAGTAATAGTCAAACGCCAGATGAAGAACTAATCTACCCTCTGTATTTAAAGTTTTTGGCCGCCCATGTTTTTTCAAAATTGTGCCGGCAAGTTTCATGTTCTCGACAAGGTCTTTCGGCCAGGTTTGGTGACTGTCACCATGAAACACCGCGCTATACATCGCAGTTTTCTTTCCCTCTTTTTCGACACATCGCGGACTGCAGCCTGGTCCTCCAGCAGAAGGATGCAGGACTGTACACCAGACATTTTTCATTTTTTCCGAATATTTTGGAGACAAATGGCCATTTAAAGAGGACAAACAACGCTACACAGGCAAGTAAAAGAATTGCATTTCGTTGACAACGTCGTCTAGAAAACATGGCTTCCCTTTTCGTTGTCACTTCTATCGCGAGGCCATGCAAGATCGAGAGAGTCAAGAGAGATTGGAAAAGGGCCGTTTTGGTGGATTTCTTAATTTCCAATGAACTCCTCCTAACCTGGAGATTGTTGTTATATTGTTGACAGGTTGTATAAGCCGTATTGCAGCGGATATACAACAATCTGAGTAAACCTTTATTCTTCATATTAAGGTGACGTCATGGAGGCCATGGTGGTGGAAAAATACAAAAGCGTTTTACTTCGCTGAGAATTAAAGTTTTTTCATGCAAATTTTGCGGTGAAAAAATACGCTGTTGTTTTGTCCACCAACATTTCCGCCTTGTCACGTGGTCACGCAAAAAAGAAGGCATATCAGGGAATAAGTCAGCACAGAATTTAATTGTCAGCGAATTTCTGTAATCGTCCATTGTTCTGCTAGTGATAAACTACCCCTTGATTCACTCGTCTCTCTTGTTTGTAGACATGAGTCTTATAAGGTCTCTTTTCTTACCGCTGGCCGAATACCAGGGAAAAACAGGCCTCTGCCAGCAGGGAAAGAGAGAGAAAGAGTGTCTGGCAAATTGTTTCCAAGATTTGTGAACTCTCCAAGTGTTTATATATTTACACATTGACATAGTTCTTTCAGTATCGTGTTCATGATGTCTTGCAAAGTTAATTTTTACGTTGTACTATCAGCATTGCATTATTCTGTTTGCAAAATTTAATATTTCTACTTGAAATTTTTACCACTGTTTACTGATCAGATCGTTATATAGAGGCGCGTTGTACAAACGGTCACAAAATATGTTAATTCCTATAAAGACACCAACAACCTATGAGGCAAATCAGTCAGAAAACATAGCCTCAGAGGATGAATCAAGGTTTGTCTTCACTTTAACGACGGTTTACAGCTCCTTGGTTTTTTTATAATTTCCTTTCAATCAATTTTAGATTTGCTAGTAAGTAACTTGTCGCATCTATAGCAAACTGGTCGGCGAAGAATTACAGGAGTTTTGTGCCATTTTCCTGGTGGAATAACTCTGTTGATTTCTTCAACTGCTGATTTTACTGGGAAATAGCTTTGATTTACAGTTCCAAGGGTCATGTGAAAGTTTTGCAGACGTGTGTGAGGAATATGTTTGTGTACACCAGTTCTAATTTCGAGATCTTTTTCGTTCTTTAGCGCCCATCCGGTCAAATCCTCTTTTGATTTTTTGTCAACCATGAGCACAAGAGAAACTGCATCATTGTAACCGTGGATAGCACATTCTAACCTATCAAACCATACCTCGTGGGGCTTCCACGAATAACTGTTCAAAAACTGCGCGATTTTAATTCCTTCTTCGTCCGTGTAACAGCAGTAGTAGTCAAACGTGAGATGAAGTTCTCGGCCGCCTTCTGTGTCTAGGCTTCGTGGCTGACCGTACTTTTTCAAAATTGAGGCGGCAAGTTTCATATTCTTGACAAGTTCTTTGGGCCAGGTTTGGTGGACGTCGTTATAAAACGCCGCGCCGGACCCATACATGGACTTTTTCTTCCCTTCTTTATCGACACATCTTGGACTGCAGCCCGGGCCGCCAGCAGAAGGATATGCAGGACTATAAACCAGACATCTTTCAGACTTACCGGAAAACTTGAGGTAGAAGGGCCATTTAAGGAGTAAAAGCAGCACACAACAGGCAATCAAAACAAACAAAATAATGCAATTTTGTTGACTGCGTCTTCCAGAAAACATGGCTTCCCTATTAAATTCTTTGTTGTCAGTTCTAATATTACAGTCACGCGAGTTTAAAAAGTCACGCAAGGGTCGTAAATTTTACTTTTCCCACCCAATATATTAACCTGTAGGTCGTTTCCTTAAAGTTAAAAATGGTAGTTTAGATTAGCTGGATTATTTCGATTTGTGAAAATTACTGAGAATATAGGACTGCCCGTCGTTTAGTGTTTTGAAAACCTTGACCGGCAGTCGAGCTGAAAAAGTTCTAAGTGTCACAAAACATCTTTTCGCCTTCTAAGCCCAGCGTAAACCAAACGCTATACTTGAGATCTATAAAGCATTTCAGGATCGCTTGACTTTTCTTAATGGACATGTGATAATTAAGATTTGCTGGGATTTTTCGATTTTGTGTTTACTGAGAATATAGGACTGCCGGTCATGTAGCGTTTTGAAGACTTTCACCGGTTACCGGCCATATAGCCACAGCGAAAACAAAAAGATAGCGTAAGGTTATAATATTCTCAACTGAATTCAAATTAAATCATTCACACCAGAATCAAAACAATATTTCTTTTGACAAAAGTATTAAAAAGGGGTGTTATTAAGAAGCTAGAAAATTTAGTTACAAAACATATCTCAGTAGTATAGTTAATTCTGATTGTTAGTTTGTCGCTGATGTCATGTATTTACATGTAATAAAGGCGTTTCATTAACTTTTGGCATCCACGACAAACTGGACGTTGAAGAGTAACAGGCGTTTTGTGCCATTTTCCTGGTGAAATAACTCGGTTGATTTCTTCAACTGCCGATTGCACTGGAAAATGGCTTTGGTTTAGTAATGCAAGAGTCATATGGAAGCTTTCCAGGCTTGTGTGTGGGATATGTTTGTTTACACCGGTTTTGACTGCGAGATCTTGCTCGTTCTTCAGAGCCCAGCGAGTCAAATCCTCCTGTGATTTTTTGTCAACGACGAGTACAAGAGCAGCTGCATCATCGTAGCCGTAGATGACACATTTCATTTCATCAAACCATACTTCATGCGATGTCCACGAGTAACTGTTCAAAAACTGCCCGATTTTGATTCCTTCTTCCTCTGTGTAGCAGCAATAGTAATCAAACGTTAAATGAAGTTCACGCTTTCCCTCTGTGTTTAAAGCAAGGGGTTGACCGAACTTTTTCACAATTGAAGCAGCAATTTCCATGTTTGCGACGAGCTCTTTCGGCCAGATTTGGTGGTTATCGTTATAAAACGCTGCCCCATACATCGAGGTTGTCTTCCCTTTCTTTGCAGAGCATGGCGCGCTACAGCCTGCACCGCCAGCAGATGGATACGCAGGACTATAGACTAGACATTTTTCGTTTTTCTTCCATTCTTTGAAGGCGAAGACTGAGAAATCTTCAAAAGATATAATAAGTACAGAAATAGTAGATAAACAACTTGAGAAAAAAGAGAAAGTGATTTTCATGACTGCGAAGTTCACGGAACGCGATTCCTTGTTGATAAATCACGTGATCTTGCTGTTTTAAAAGTCACGCGATGTGTATAATTTATAATGACAACACTTCTTGTCGATGTTCCTGGATAGCCCGTTTCCTTCATTGCTGTGAAAATCCATCCAGTTAGAATATGAAGTAAAACCAGTAACACATAAGCCATGTTTTGCTTTCAACTAAGTCAGGGAAACTTTTTACTTTTAATACTTTCAGGAATTTTCGTGCTGTTATCTTTGTTTTTAAAATGGCCTTCCTTGCTCGAAAAATCGATGATCAACGAAAGATGTCTGATTTACAGCCCTGCTTATCCATCTCCTAGCGGCGGGGGCTGTAGTCCATTGTGTATTGAAACGGATCGAGTTAAAAACTCGACTTATGCCGCAGTGTTTTACAGAAAAAATCACCAGTGGCCGGAGGAACTTGTGGCGAACATGGAAAAGGCTGCTTCAATTTTGAAACAGTTTGGCCAACCAAAATCTTTAGACACGGAGAGAGGACTTCATCTCACGTTCGACTACTATTGCTGCTACACGGAAGAAGAAGCAGCGAAAATTGGGCAGTTTTTGAACGGTTACTCTTGGAAACCGCACGAGGTATGGTTTGATAAAATAGAATGTGCTATCCACGGCTACAATGATGCAGTTTCTATTGTGTTGATGGTTGACCAAAAATCACAAGAGGATTTGACGCGATGGGCGCTAAAGAATGAGCGAGATCTCGAAATCTCAACTGGTGTACACAAACGTATTCCTCACACACGGTTGCAAAACTTTCATATGACTCTTGGAACATTAAATCAAAGCGATTTTCCTGTGCAGTCGGCAGTTGAAGAAATCAATAGAGTCATTCCACCGGGAAAATGGCACAAAACTCCTGTTATTCTTCGCAGCCCGGTTTGCAAAAGATGTAAAAAAGCCATAGATGCTGTTTCAAGTAAGAACTAGCAAATTCGGATGCAAAAGTCGATTACTAGCATTGTTTTACATTTTGGCCTCTCTATGGTCTCTTCCGGCAGAACAAGACTTAGTCGCGCCGAGCGTTGAGAGCAGGAAGCTGCTCAGAAATGTAGTGCTTTCTTTGTACGTTCATTCCAATAGTTTATTTCGAACAGAAATTTATTTTCCTGTTTTTTTTTTCAATGGTTTATTTATAATGAACGCATTTGTATTAAAACTTTCATGCAAATCATTTGCCATGCATGATTTGCATGGGTCAATCAACACAAAAATGATCGATCGCGTGACTATTCATAGAAACAAAAACATCACGCTATGTACATGGTGTACAAAAGAGGCAAATATCAATCATAGGGAGTCTGCGGCCCATATAGTGGTACTACCATGTTGTTTGATCGACTAAATCGAAGAAACGGCACGCTTTTACTTCTCTTAGTCATTTCCCTTGTGTTTTTTGGGTTTGTTAAATGGCCTCTGTTGTTTGGAGTATCCCTCAAAGACGAAAAATGTCGCGTGTATAGCCCTGCTTATCCAAACCTCGGCAGAGCCGGATGTCGACCACGGTGTGTTAAAAAGGAAGGAAAGAAAACCTCAACTTACGTAGCAGCGTTTTACAAAGATAATCACCGATGGCCAAAAGAGCTTGTGACGAACATGCAACTTGCCGCATCAGTTTTGAAAAAATATGGTGAACCACGGACTTTAAACACGGAAAAAGGACGTGAACTCCATCTCTCGTTTGATTACTACTGCTGTTACACGGAGGAAGAAGGAAAGAAGATTGAGAGATTTTTGAACACTTATTCTTGGAAACCTCACGAAGTATGGTTCGATAAAATAGAATGTGCTATCCACGGCTACAATGATGCAGTTTCTTTGGTGCTTATGGTGGACAAAAAATCACAAGAGGATTTGACTCGATGGGCACTGAAGAACGAGCGAGATCTCGAAATTAGAACTGGAGTGCGCAAACATATTCCACACACACGTCTGCAAAACTTTCACATGACCCTTGGAACTGTAAATCAAAGCTATTTTCCAGTGAAATCAGCAGTTGAAGAAATCAACAGAGTTATTCCACCAGGAAAATGGCACAAAACCGCTGTTATTCTTCGCCGACCGATTTGCAGAAAAGTGGTCTGAAAGAATCGGACGTCAGTTTGGCGGGGGGAGGGGGGGGAGGGGTGGTCGGTGGAGTTCGGTCTTTTATTCTTAATTCTTGATCTTGAGCCAGTGGCGCGTCTTGAGAAGGTAAAGGAGACACTCGAGGCCTCTTTAGCGGAGTATAAGTAACATATGTCTATCGGCTGAGCCCCTGTTTATATACAAATATGAAGACCATACCGAACAGACGAGTGTAACTAGGAGTTCTAGGATAAATAAAGTCTTTTGTACTGTTCCTATTCACCTCTCCCTCTTTTTCTTGAGACCGCCGTCAATAATAGCACTAGCTATTTGCAGGTATGAAGCATTGAGTTTATAGAGGCAGCGCATTAGGTTTTCAAGTGGTCACTGGAGACGCTTCTTTCAACTGCGTAGGGGAAGGGGGAGTAGGGGCGGTAACAATGGGTCTCTGTGCCCATTCAAATGTATCTTCCTGTCACTAATAATGCAACGATCCTGAACTGATTTCGCTTCGCAAAGAATGAAATGATATTACCGTCGAGAAGGAGTCTGAATTTTGCATCTTCAGGACTTTCAGCTACAATCAAGTTTGAAGCAGTGATTTCAGACGTTATTTGTTGGAATTTAAGTGCAATTTTTGCAATCTTTTGTAGCGGATTCCTTGGTCCCTTGGTTTGACGTTTTGCCTAGGCCTTACTAAACCCCTTACCCTGCTAACTTGTTTTTTTGTGTTTTTTGTTTTCTTCGAGGCAGAGGACTTCTACTGTAACTTTTTTAATCAACAATAAAAAATTTCATAACAGAAATTCTGTAAAGAGTCGCACACACCCACACAAAGAAACAACAACAATTTTCGTACTCATATCCATTAATAGTTTAATGTAGCAGTTGTTCATTTTAATCTGCTGGCCTGGCTGATAGGTTAATTGACAATCCTTGCCCAAACAAGGCATTACTTAAGCAAAAACGCTTAAACTGAACAGCTTTGATAAACAGAAAATTGTTTACCATATATCCTGAGCAGCAAATAGCAGTCGATCATCAGAAAATGACCGACTAATGTAGGCCCATGTCAGACAATATTGTAGCAGTGGTGGCACATGATGTCAGGACAAAAGTGCATGTGCAAGTGCATGTTCACTAGTACCCAAGAACTAACAACCCAGCGAAAATGTGGCAGTAATTCTACCTGACAATTCCACTCCTACCATGCCCAAAAATATTTCTGTTAACCTTTTAAGTCCCAGGCGTGACCAACATCAATTTTCTCCAAACAATATCAATGCGTGATCACATAGAAAGGATACAAGAATTGACAAAATGATCACCAAAGGGAAACTGCTTTGATTGTTTAACAAATTCTCATAACTTATTTTGTAAGGAAATATATGGAGGTCAGTCTGGAGAATTTGTATCTGGATATTGGGACTTGAAGGGTTAAAGAAGTGTAATGTGTCCTTAATTTAGCCCAACCACCTTTTTGCTTTGTCCAACTGAAATGGGGACTCAGCCCGACATATATCCTTTCAAGAGCAAAAAAATTGTTTCCAGCCCTGCTAGTAAGTGTACACAAAATTCCTAAAGAATGTTCTCTTTTTTAAAAAAATTAACCACCACTGGTGACCATTAAAATTCTTGATTAAATAACTTACTTATCAATATTTTAAACACCCATACAAGCAATTAAATAAACTGTTCTTTGTAAAACACAACCTGTGTATATAACAAGAAGCATGTTTCAATGTTCAACATTTTACACCTGGAGAAATTTTACTATAATGCTAATTAACAATTATTCCTCGCCCCTGAATGGGCTCTGAGACAATAGCCCACGAAGCTGAAGGCTGAATGGGCTATTGACTCAGAGGCCATGAGGGCAAGAGGAATAACTGTTTTAGTAAAATCCAACCAGTTGGTCAAAAATATTGAGACAAAACAACTTTAGCTAGTTAAATCTAGACTTTAACCCTTTTTTGCCGCCAAAAAGCCAGCGCTTTTCACTACTAGTGGGCTATAACATATAGCCTAGTAGTAGCTTAACCAATCTAGACTTTAACCCTTTTTTGCCACCAAAAAGCCAGCGCTTTTCGCTACTAGTGTTCTATAACATATAGCCTAGTAGTAGCTTAACCAATCAGAATGCAGCATTGATAATAGACCACTGGTTGGATTTTACTAATGACACATATAGGACTATATTATTCATGGGAGATAAAGATTCTTCTCTTGATAGGACATTAATAGAAAACAAAATACTCTTCATACACCATCAACATTTAGAAAGCTTTGCCAAAGCTTTTTTAATTCACCTGGATCTCTTCTTCAGTGATCTACAGAGCATTTTGGGGACAGCCTCATCATCAAAAGAGACTGCAAATATCAGTGACAGTCATAGTAAAAAGCTCTAGACACTCTTGCATACAATAAATAAAACATTCTCTAAATTTTGCAGGAGTATGAAGAGTGATTTTCTCCCAACAATATATTCGTCTCTAAAATACAAAGGAAATTAGAGATCTTTCAATATAATTTAATATTAATATTATTAATAATAATATATATTAGTAGAATAATAATTTGTAAAGAAAATACAAAAAAAGGTCTCATTTTATAGATGTCTGTTTACCTGGTGAAGCAAACTAAATATTTTGACACAAAGTTTTTGGCCCAAAATTTCAAAACTTAACAAACAGATCTAAGGAAAGGCTTTCTTCAGTACCATTTTTATCATATCAATTTCTGTTCCAAAGATGTTTACTTCTGAGACATTACTATAAATCAAAGGCTATTTGAGTCTCGAGTTAGTTACTAGAAGCATGGTTAATTAAGGAGGCTCTGAAAACTGGTTTTGTTTCATTTGGGAT